GTGATAATGAAGTAGCGGTTGCCTTAACAAAGGAATCAAGAGATCATGGTATATCAAGACACATCGACAAAAAAAATACCATTTCATCAGACATAGAGTAGAAGAAGGTCACCTCGTCGTGAAGAGGGTATCGTTAGAAGAGAATCCTGCAGATCCCCTCACAAAGGGTCTGGGTAGAATCAAACACGTTCATCATGCTAGGAGCATTGGTCTGAAGGATGATATTAGTTTTAGTAGTTAGATAGTTAGTTTCGAAACTTGTAATGAAATAAATGTAATTGACTTTTGGTGATTAAGTAATGGTGATTTATTTATGAGTTGGATTACTACTTTCTGTCTATTATTTATTTTGTGCTTCATTTTTCATGGTTTACTTCCTGAATAATAAGATTGTTCAAACATCCACATTTGATCAGACTTTTGGAAGTAAGTAGTGAATCAAGATTGTCATGAATTGGATTGTAGATTGTCTAAAGAGTTTTCGACATGGCAATAGTGTTGCTGCAATATTCATGAGTACTTTTGAAATGGAGATTTAAGTATTGGATTAACCCACGCTCAGAGAATTACTTCATGGAATTTATCACGAGTAATTCTGAGATGATAATATCTTATAATCTTTAAACAGAGATATATGGGTTGTTGTTTACGAGTTGGTTGTGCATTGATGATACGTAAACGCAGCCGTAACTTGATGCTATTAAAGGTATTGTTGTGCATGATTTGATGAGTAAATAGTGCAAGCATGTAAGTCAAAGTTTATCTGTTCCTTTTTACCCTTAGGGGAAAAAGCAATATCTTTGGGCCCCTCCATGATTTGGTGTTGACTTATAGTGTCGGGACCGGCCTGGACTAAATTGATGTGTTCGATTAGTAGTTCTTTGTAATTACAAATCAGAAATCAGGAAACAAAGTATTGGACAATGAGATTGATTCTATTCCATTTCTCATATCCGAATGATATCTTGCAGAACTGAAGATTATATGATCATTTATCTTAGGAAACGTAACTGACTAGGTCAGAGTTCGACAACAACTTTTGAGAGCTACAATTGGCTGATCCGTTTAGAAGAATGTACTGGAAATTATAGTTATTAGACTTATCCAAGTGAGAGACTATTGGGTTAGGTGTCTAAGCCCATAACTATAATTGGTATATACTTGAATTGATAGTAGCACAATCCTTTTGGGTTGCCCTCAAGACTAGCAGCTTGACAAGATGATTTTTGGAGAGAGAGGTTGATTTATTATTGAAATAAATAGTTTGTTAATATATTATGAGAATAATATATTAATTAGAAATAGTAATATTTAATTAATATTTAATCAGAAATTAATTATAATTAATTTTGGGATTAAAAGAATTAATTAAAAGTGCAGGGATTGAAGTGCAATTGTTCAATAGTTGAGCAAGAGGCATTCTAGAACCATCCATAAGGCATGGATGGTTTCTTAAAGCCTTAGGGTTTCTAGAATTATCCCTGGTGGATAATCAAGAATGTGGATAATTACCCGGTTTATGATAATCTTGGATTTGGGCTTATCTAGGTTTTCCTGACTTCACTATATATAGAGCCTCAACCCTAGAATTTTCGGCCAACCTGTTAGTTGTGAAGAGCCAATTGAATTTTCCAAGCCTCCCTCCTCTCTCTCAAACTTCTTCCTTTGCTAGTGTTGGGTGTGAACCACTAGAGGCGCGAATTTGTGGCACTTGCTCTCAAGGCTTCAACAACACAAGGGTTTTGTTATTTGTCAATAGAAATCAAAGGTATGTTTCTCCTAACCCTAATTGGTATTTTTCGAAAATATGATAGTTTTTCTAGGGTTTCTTTTTGTTGTTCAATGTTGTATGTTCAATTAGAGAAAACATAGATCAAGTATTAGGGTTGCATGCACACATAGGAATTATATGTTTTGCATAATACCCATCAGGGTCAAACTTGAGGATTTTGGGCCATTGATTAAGATTTTATCTGGTTATGATGTTAGTGGATTTGCGGGAGCAAGGAGTACAGAAGGGAGCATATCGCATTCTTTCAAGGTTCTTCGATTCATGTGAGTTTCACCTCATTGTACCCGTGGGTCGAAGGCACCAATACCGGCCCACTAGTTTTGGTTATCTTTAGTAGAAGGATGTCATAGGGACTGTATATAGTAATGTAGGATAGACTGAGGACTCTTGATCTAGGCTCTTTTACCTGTTCCTTGTTTGGTTGTGGTTACAGAGTAGGATCACCTGTCCGGGTGTCTATCTCACCTCTGAGTATATACGGTTTTGCATTCCTTGGATTGTTGATATTTAGTATGTTGCTATGTTGTAGTGACCTGTTAGATCTGTATCCTCGTAGTTGGCATGTTGCTATGTTGTAGTGACCTGTTAGATCTGTATCATGGTAGTTGGTATGTTGTTATGTTGTAGTGATCTGTTAGATCTGTATCCTGGTAAATGTTGCTATGCGGTAGTGATCAATGGATGTATATGTCTACTTGCACTTGCTGGTTATCATCTAGTGGAGTGCCTTAGGGAGTGTATGTGGTCACATAGGATAGACTGAGAACTCTTGATCTAGGCTTTCTTACATGTTCCTTGTTTGGTTGTGGCTCTAGAGTAAGATCATCTGTCCGGGTGGCTATCTCACCTCTGGTTACTTATGGTTACGCATTTCATGGAGGTTAGCTGATAGCGGGACAATATGTTGTGAGAAGACTAGTAGACTGTAGTGAGTTGTATGATTGATGTTTGTTTGTATTATGTGCCTACTTGATCCTTGATTGTTTATATGTGGACATATGGTGGTAGTGGGTTGAGGCGGTCCTGCTTTGTGCTATAGGCCAAGATACCCAGTGTGGGCCGGCTGTAAGCTGAAGGCATGAAGACTCGGGGGGAGCGGTTGGGTTGAGGCGGTAGGCCAACAAAACCTCGGTATTCCAGCCCGGTGGCTGAGTGGACCCGATGCTTTCTTGTATGTTTATCGTATGGGGTATTTTGGGGGAAACTTACTAAGCTTTATGCTTACTCAGTTGTTTATTGTTTCAGGTATCATCGGTCGTCATGGGAAGGTGAATACATGACTGTACACATTCATCAGCAACAATGAAGATTTCGCGCTTTAATATTACTCTGATTTTCAATAAATGTATTTGGAATAAACGGGTTTCTTCAAAATGGATTTATAAATGGGAAGTTTTGCTTAAATAAAATGAAATTTTTTGATTGTGAAAATGGGACGTTACATAAACATTACAAATACAATTCTGCAAGATCTTTTGATTCTTCAATGGCAACAACAATATATTCACATTTAAAGGTCAAACTCCTTAAAAATATTTCAACAATCGTCATGTATTCCAATAATAAACATTACAAATACAATTATGAAAGATCTTTGGATTCTTCGATGGCAACAACAACATATTCACAATTAAGGGTCAAACTCCTTAAAAATATTTCAACAGTCGTCATGTCTTCTCATTTTGTTTACCAAAACTATTACATGGTTGTAATAGTCCTTAATGGTCTCAGTTTCTTCCATTCTTAAATTTTCAAACACGCACCTTAAGGTTAGATGTCTCACCATTTTTACCTTTTCTTCCCTTTAACATGTATTAAACAACATATCTCATGCATATTTGGATGTCGTAGTATTTGGATTTCTTTTGAATATGTTTTCATCCACCGCCTGTTAGATGATAAATAAAGCCCTTCAATATTTTTTCTTGTTTTCTTTTGCTTCATGAACTTGTTGTGGGGTTGTTTATATAGTTTGTTATAGTTCATTAAATCCATCTTCGATGATGTTCCAAATATCACACGATTCAAAGAGAATTCTCATTAGAATCACCTAGTGGTAGTAATTTCTCCATTTTCATTGTAAATTGTTACCTATCTGAGATGCCATTTGGTTAGATATGATACCAATTTGTTAAATTTCAAACAATAATGGCAACGTGCTTTGGATCAATAGCAACAATAAGCAATGTATTTTAGATGAACACAAATCTACAGATACTTAGATTTTTCTTTTATTCATTAAAATATTTACAACAACAATAAATTTGTTCTTACATAGACATGTATATACATAAATAAGGAAACTGTTGCAACCTTTCAAAGATGCGGTTTCCCCTTATAAACCGCCAACTATCATAATTGTCGTGCCCCCCCCCCCCCCCATAACCGCCTAGCTTACATAATTTAACACTAGGTTTAAACCCGTGGAACTCCACGGTTGATAAATTGAAATAGAATTATACTTTTGATAGTGTAATAAAAAAAGATATCAAATTTTAGAAATAATGAAGAATAATGATATTGTAATTAACATGAATAAATCAAATACAATAAAGTATCATAAATTAATTAATTAATATGATGGATGAAGTGTGATACACGAAAACTAAATAAAAGATGGTAGAAAAACAGTGTTTATAAATTCCCAAAAACTTCCTTATAAACGACATTGGAAGTTTTATTTGTGAGACTACCATCCTTATCTAAAATTGACAATTTTAATTCGTCCATGCTTTGAACTCTAGATAAGGCAACATACAATTGGCCATGTGAAAAGACGGGATGTTTGAGAAACAAACCAACCTTGGATAATGACTGTCCCTGACTCTTATTAAAGGTCATTGCAAAACATACAACCAATGTAAACTGTCTTCTTCGGAATTTGAAGGGAATTTTCTTTTCTGATGGAGTTAAAGACATTCTTGGAATAAAAGTGCGGTTTCCAATATTAGTTCCATATATGATACGTGCCTCAATAACATGCTTGGCTAATGATATCACCTGGAGTCGTGTCCCATTACACAATCCATTTTTCTGATCAATATTTCTCAGCAACATAACGGGAACACCGATTTTTAAAACTAACTTATGGTTTGGTAAACCCGATACTTTCAGACCATTTAAAACATCAGGTGAATATAAATTTGCATCAAATTGATCATGGACAAATTCAGATTGGCATATAGTATCTGAACTTAAGTATTCTACCTTATCTCTTGGAAAACAAATTATTTTTCAGAAAGTCATCGTGTTCTGTATCTTGTTTTGATGCCATCATTTTGATTCCACTTGATGAAAGTTGTTGTCCATTTTCAGAAACCAATCTGTTCATTTGTAACAAAGAAAGGAATTAAATTTATTATAGTATGAAAAAAATGAATCTGAAAATACAAAGGACATTATATATGAAAATACTTGTTTTTGTAGCTTGTAATTTCATCCATATCATTGTTTATGAACAACCTACTAACATCAAAGTAGGTGGATGAAAAAGGACGACCTGCAAAAATAAAATTTATTATTTAATTATATATAAAATTTTAGTAAATGGTTGTTAAAACTAATTACAAACCATTAATAAACTTCACTCTGACAAATTGAACACTAACAACAACTGGAGCAAGGCTGTTATTGTTAGCAAGAAAATCATGCATGTAGTATGCATTATGACCCCACAAAGTTACCTTAAGCTTAGTATCCCTAAAACAATAAACAAATATTGTAGATAATATAAAACAAACTATATTATTTGTTTGTAATAATGGTGAATACTCTATATCTTGAAGATGCAAGAGCATCTTGGGTTTTGATTTATCTTGTTCCGAGGTACCATATGCCCATATTCAAAAATGTGTCCAATAATATCTACAAAAGCAACAAATTATAAGATTAAGTTAATAAAAATTATCAATTTGTAATAAAAATAAAGAAAGTAGGATGTTATATAACAAAACTTAATATTAGAAGAACCAACCAAAAGAGATTGACTCCAGGATGTTGTTAGAAACAATCGTATTGAAGTCAACAAAAGCAAAGCCATGTGCAGAACCAGAAAAGTTTTCACAATCTTTTACAGTTGTATCGTGATTAAAAGTAAGTTTTCTGTCCGGATCAGGAAACTTAAAGTTTGAAGTTTCCTGACGTATAATGAACTATCCTCTTTTAAATAGAGCTGGAATTTAGGAAACCATTTCTTCAGACAAGATGCATGAATTTTCCTTCCCTAAAAAAATTAAATAACAAACATATAAATAGAATTGCTTAAAAATATGAATAAATTTTTATAAAAATAATAATTGAATATATGCATCTTATACCTCCTCATCTATCAGAACCATTTCAACCGAGTATGTGTCGTTTGCATCAAATTTTGAGTTTTGAGTCCAAAGACGTATGATCCGAACCTTAATTGTGAAATCGTCCTTGATTGAGCCAATCTCCTTTATTGGAGTAATGTGTTCCATTCTAGCTTGCAAGTAAAAAAAAACCTGTATATTTAACAAAAGTTTTCAAATATAAACAGAAAAATCGTAAAACATTGATTGATTAAAGAATTCGTGATATAAGTGTCAAATTCTACAATTCAATACATTTAGGCAAATAAGTTAGAATATAAAAAGAAAACATATACTTGTTTTTCACCGAAAGAAAGATAAACTTGTAAATTTCACACTTATAAACAACAACCAAAAAAGAAAGAAAACATATACTTAAAAAAAATTGAAACATGAAAAAAGAAAGTACATTGCTATTTAACTGATTTTGATTGATAGAAATACACAAAGCTATCATTAGTTTAAGTGAGTTATAGGTAAATAAGTGGGAGGGGCAATTTAGGAATTGTATAATATTTAAGTGTGAAATTGAACAATCCATGATATCAGTGTCAAAATCATAATCATTAATAAATTATTATCAAAGATGGCCTTCTAAAAAGGTGAAAACTTGTTTAAAAAGGTGTAATTCTTCATATTACTTCAATACTTTAATTTTTTTTTATATTACCTACATGATATCTGTCAAAACACACGTACACACATAAATGGTATACAAAAGTTAACAGAAATAGTCCCAATATCGATCAAAGTTAACCGAATGTGTAACAGCTAAAAGAGACAATACCTATTTTTCAAATTTGGCATAAATGGTCCCTATGTTTAAAAAACTACAAAAATGTTCCATATAGTTCAAATTTAATAGAAATGTACATTGTTTTATTAACAAGTTAGATACTGTACATGTTTTAATAATTTTAGAATATGTCATAAATCGTCCCCGTACAGTTAAAAGTTAACATAAATAGTCCCTGCTTTTTGGAGTTAACGAAAGTGAAAGTAAGATGTCATTAAATGACTAATGACGATTTATGAAAGTAAGATGCCAGTAAAATAAACTAACATTAAAAGATGATTTCATTAAAAAACAGCAACTTATCCTGTTATACAATGGCAAATTCTGGATTCCGAATTATAGAATTGTACATTGATAAATGATCTAATTGGGACCTGTTTTTAAAAATTTACAAAAAGTGTCCTTATTTCAAAGAACATTGTTATATGCTTTAAAGGAATGGTCATATTGTTATTAAATAAATGAGCAGAATTGGTCTATGTTGGAAAAAAAAATAAACTGTCACATATATAGTCACATACACATACATTAACACACTCATTACATTAAAAAACACATACAAAGTAACAACTAAAAAAACAGTGACACATAATGTATTAGTTCTGAAAGTCGATGAGTATATACCCTGGATATAGGAAAAACACACTGCAAACACAAAAACAAAATCGATGAGTATACCATCGATATATGAAAAACAGAGAGCAAACAATGTAGTCTCCTTACCCGATGATTAATGTCTGATCTATGCGTAGTGAAACAGGAACGTAAACACGGATGTAAACGTGTGTGTATATATATATATATATATATATATATTCGATTGATATTCGATTGCTGATTTATTGGGATTGATATTCGATTTGCTGATTTATTGGGAGTGATAGAGTTTAACATTTATTTTCTGCCATATTTGTTGCAGAATTATATGGTATGATTGAGAATTCAAATTTCAAATATCCTGATTTCCTGAATTAAATTTTTCCTGATTTACAATATTATTTTCGAATTTCAGTAATTATCGAAATGAAGGGCAAATCTGGAAATTCAGTTACAACAATTGAGCGGGAAAACTAAAGAGTGAGGGACTAAGGTAATGCCACGTGGCGGTGATGTACTGTTTTATTAGAGGAGAAGATTGGAACACATATAGTTGAATATGTTAAGTGTGGTGTCACGGGTTGACTTCTTCAACTAGTAAATATTGTATGCCACTTAACGTACTTTCAACTAAGTTATGCTAGCATCGCTCATTTGGATGTACTAACTACGTAAGTGAACAATAGACTAATTCTAGAAGGCTTTTACAAGGAAACAAGTATGTATATTACTTCTAAATCTCAAGTATACAAGATAACTTTCGAAGGTTTGGTGCAAACGAGCTCCATTCTTATTTATAAGGATTTTCCAACTCCTCTTCGAGGTTTCTTGATTCCGTACATTCAAGACTTATCTATGAAGATCTATATTTATTTATAAGGCTCCAAAGGTTCCAAAACTCTTCGATGTCCCGGAGAATTCTAGAACGTTCCAACATCTTCCAATATGTTTTAGAATGTTCCATAGCCTTTTGCGGTCTTCCATAACGTTTTACAATCTTCCAGGGCCTTACATGAATGATTAACAATCATATGTTATTCAATTGGATTTGATTCAAACACGAATAACCATCATATATATATATATATATATGATATATTGATCTTTCGTGACTAATTATATAGTATGGTAACCATAAGTTGTAAGTGGGCCCGGGGTTTTTCCAACAGTTGGCGTTTTTAAGGGTCAATATTTATTGAATCGATAATCTCATACTTTATAATAATCATGAAAGTATCAGTTTATATATAACTTGATTTCTGTTTTAAATTTGAAATTTTAATTTACTAATTTTAAAATTGAAAGATTAATTTACTTTGATCATTCAATGTCGTCATACTTTATACTTTCTAGATCCTTTCATAAGATACCATATTATGAAAGGATCTGGAAAGAATAAAGTATGAGGACATGGAATGATTAAAGTAAAATAAAATCTCAAATTTAAAATAAAAGTTAAATTATATATAAATGATTCTTTCATGATTGTTATAAGGTATGAGATTACCAAGTCAATAAATACTACATTTAAGATTCACCAACTAAGCATTGGAACTGATTCTCATCTTCAATTGAAACCTTTGAACTGTCTGATTTTGTAGAGTGAGGTTGATCAAATTTTTTGATCCAAGTCTTCTTTAACTCATGAAAGATATGCTTTAATCATATATTGTTTAGATGACACCTTATTAGTCTTGGCTTTTAAGATTATGCTATTTTCTGAAGAAAAAAAATGTATTGATCCTTCTCTTTATTAGAGAATTCCATATGGACTTTATATTAATGAACTTTTTGCTTGATATATATATATATATATATATATATATATATATATATATATATATATATATATATATATATATATATTATATAATATCTAATGATTATTTCTAATTGATCGTTCACATATGAATGTCCAATATACTTAATAACAGTCTTGTAAAAGTCGGTCTGGTTGGCTGATTAATTGACGCATAGACGTTAGGCTGTCTCCAACCACTTAAGATTAGTACTAATATGTCATCTTAGCCGGCCTTGGTCCTAATCGATCAAATATTGTCAAGAAAATTAAAAGGTCAAAATATATTAACAAAAGAATCAACAAAATAAAAAAAAGGTAAATAATCAATTAAAACTGAAAAAATTACAAAGTTAAAGCCAAAAAGGTAAACAAAAAGTCTTAGTTCACACTTCTTATCAGGTCTCTTACGGGATTTTTTTCTCAGAAAAATCACTTCTGACCACTAGTGTTGCTTCAGCTCTCATGTATCATTTGGCCTTTCGTAGTTATATTATTCAACATAGATTTGTGCTGCGTGACACAACATTGGACCATCATCTTCAAACAACTTCTCACTTTTCTTTAAGTTATATTATTCAACATATATTTGTTTTTTTTCAACATGTTTATTATATTAATAATATTATGAATGATATTATAAACAATTCGAATATATTTTATATAATTTCAATTAATTTCAAAATCGTTTCATAAATTTCATATAAATATTTTTTTTGTGTTACATTGTCCATAACCAAACATTAATAAATTATAAAGTTAATCACTAAACTTATCAAATTTATTGAAACTAACCATAAAAATAACCATTGTCTTCGAAAATTTAACAAAAATGAACATGTTTTTCGCTAAACTAATAATTTTATTTATTGTTATTTAGCAAATAGTACCCTTAATTATTTTATATAAACGTTTTTAAAAATCATATCATCAAAATGGTTTTTTATTTGATTTGCATATGATTAAACTAAATAAAATTTTGATTTATATTTATTTTTAAATATTGTATAGTTAATTTCAGTTTATTGCAACATCCTACACACGTAAAAAAACAAGCAGACGCCGTTTGGTCCACCTATTCTATTGCAGAAGGTCGCATATGTGGTCCGTGGACTTTAGACGTTTTCGCTTTGAAAAAACAAACACCTTAGTCTCTACTCTCTTTCATTGAATCGACATTAGGTTTTTTTGGTTCTCTTAACGTCTCCGGTTAATTCCCTATGCCGTTTAATCCCTTGACCCAGTCGACCGACTAGCTACCGTCAATCGTTTTTTACAATCTTCCTTAATTACTGGTCAATATTCACATCATATTTATTAGGATTTGATATTATTAATGATCATTCACATCTTAACCACCATCTACGAGCAATCGTTATATACTTTTATGTTTAATGTACAATGTTGTTATTTACATATGAATATCATATATAAAATTCAGGGTTGTAGATAAAATATAGACAAAACTTCAAAAATGGTCCCTGTGGTTTCCGAAAATATCAAGTTTAGTCCCTAAGTTCAAAAAACCTCACAGATGGTCCCTGTGGTTTCAAAACTTTTAATAAATGGTCATTTTCGCTAACTCCGTTAGCTTTTGGCCGGTAAGTAAAGGGCATTTCTGTCTTTTCACTACCACAGGGACCATTTATGAAGTTTTGCCTTATTTTAATAAAAACAATAATTATTTAATATTAAAGGCTCTCTCTCTCTCTCTCTCTCTCTCTCTTATGTCCGCTGATGAAGCTGCCAAGAACACCCCCTAAAAGCATTATGCAGATCTATTTCACCCTTCCTCTTTTCTTCAGATTCAGTTAATAAATCTCCACCGGAGGTGCAGTTTTCCGACAGTCAAGAAGGCAACAACCTCCTTTGCATCTCCCCTGCACCTGACTTGTTGCTGCTTCCTTGATCCTCTCAGACCAACCTTCCTCTTTCCCT